TGAAGGAATCTTGTCTTGCATTGATGTCATGGGAAGGGGGAAAGCATCTATCCTTTTCTTCAAAATGAACATTCTAAACAACCTGGGAAATGGATTCTTTTTGTTATAGTACTTAAAGCAGACATACCACAGGTATTCGACGGGTCATAAGACAAGTCATTCTAGCTATCATAATGTTCAAGCCAAATCACATATAAGCCAAAATGACTTCCCCATACCACAATATGTGAAAATGTCTACTGTCAGCATCAACAGTTGTAAGTTGATAGCATGTACTTTTGACACGCTGTGATGAGAATGGCAATTTACCTCTGTGATCTTCCTCCATGAGACTTCTATCTAATCATGGGGGGAAGTTTCAGACAAATCCCAGTGAGGGAACATTCTCCAAAATACCTGAACATTACTGCTCAAAACCATTAAGGTCAACAAAAGCAAGGAAAGCATGAGAAACTGTCACAGAAGAGAAATACCTAAGCAGGCATGAAGACTAAATGTCATGTGATATCCTGGACTGGATCCTGGAACAGAAGGGTGTTAGGTTAAAAATAAGAAAATCTGAATAAAGCATGATTTTGATAATAACATGCCAACATTGGTTCATTCATTATAACACGTGTATCCTACTAATATAAGATATTAATAATAGGAGAAACTGGGTGCAGGATATATATGAACTCTCTGCACTATCTTTGCAATTTTTTCTTTGAAAATAAAGTTTATTTTAAAATATGTAGTCCTTACAGTGGTAAAGAACCCGCCTGCCAGTGTGGAGAAGAGATGTGAGTGTGATCCCTCGCTGGGGAAGATCCCCTGGAGGAGGGTACAGGAACCCACTCTAGTATTCTTGCCTGGAGAATCCCATGGACAGAGGAACCCGGCAGGTTACAGTCCTTAGGGTTGCAAAGAGTTGGACACAATTGAATCAACTTAGCATGCACTCACACATACAAAGACAACGACAAAATTTTAGCCAGCAATATGGAAAAAGAGTAAGTAGAAAGACTTATCATTTTCCTGGATAAAAAAATTGCTTTTGTAAAAAATTTCTCCCTGAATAGTTATTTAAAAAATCAGCTCAATTTCCATCAAAATAGCAAAAAAAATTCTGAAATTTAAAAATATATTTGTAAATTTCATCTGAAGAACTAATTAGTATGAAGAATCAGAAGTATTTTAAACCTAAATGAAAATGGTCACAGATATGAAATCAAATATTATATTTATAAACATTAAAACGGTGTTATATTGTTGCCAGAAGAGATCCTCATTAGGACAGAATAGAATATTCCAAAACAGGTACACTGGTTTATACACAAGTATATGTATTGTGAATATAAGGTTAGAATTTTAAATCAAAGAGGAAATGGAAGATGATTTAATAAATGATGTTGGAATATAATAAATGATGTTTATATCTGAGCTCATCAGCTAAGACATACATAGATACGTAAAACTCCCTATATGTACAAACTAAATTCCAGATAAATTAAAAAGTGAAGCCACAGAAGAACCCTCACCCCCACTCCTTCAAAATACACGTGATGATGTATCTGACAGCTAGCAGGAACAGCTATTTTTTTAGATGTACAAAGAAAAAAATAATAAATTAAAGTATTGGCATATTCACATAAATATTAAAAACTTTCCTGTGTTTAAAAACGTCCCCCTACCCCCTTGAAAAAAAAAGACAATGATGAAATGGAAACAAAACTTTGCAACATCTATAAGAAAGAATTAAGATAATTAAATATAAATAAATTCCTGTATCTGTAATGAAAAAATGTAACATGTCCATGGAAGAAACATCCAAGAATACCAGACCTTATTCACAAATAAGACAGTATAAGCCTAGCAGTTTAGCCTGGGGTTTCCCTGATGGTTTAATGGTTAAGAATCCTCCTGCCAGTGCAGGGGACATGGGTTTGATCCCTGATCCTGGAAGATCCCACATGCCACAGAGCAACTAAGCCCATGGGCCACAACAACTGAGCCCACACACCCTAGAGCCTGTGCTCTGCAACGGGAGAGGCCCTTGCAATGAGAAGCCTGTCCCCTGCAACTAGAGAAAGCCCTCGGGCAGCAAGGAAGACCAGCGCAGCCAAAAATAAACTAATTGATTAATTTTTAAAAATAATTTAGCCTGATCAGCAGTAAAAAAAGAAATTTAAATTAAAATGTTGTCATTTTTCTTTTTTTTTTTTTTCAGTGTTACAGCTCTATTTTATTTAGATGATAGCAGGAAAATCCATCTTCGAGGTGTGAGGGCACTTCGATCCAAAGACAGGAAGAGAAGAGCGCCCCATCGTGCAGGAGAGAGAGAGAGAAAGAAAGAGCTTACTGAGAGAGAGGGAGAGGGAGAGAGAGAGAGAGAGAGAGAGCCCATACGCACGCGTGGGAGACAGAGAGGGAGAAGGGGAGGGGGGGGGGAGAGAGATAGAGAGAGAGAACCCTTTGGCTCCTCTGTTTATATGTCTTTTTCTTCCCCCGGGCCTGTCCTATGCAAATTGGGCTGAGGCAGGAGCGCTCTTCTACCTGAAGTCCTCACTCTGGTCCTCGACCTTCCTTTGACCTTCCTCTGTTCTATTTTCGCGGGCTTTTCCCTTCTTTGTCTTTTAGCCACTGCCATTTTGGACTCCTTTTCCCTATTCTAACTACCTAACATTCCCCCCTCAAGAGATGGGAGGCCCAATTCTTTGGGAATAGGGGCGTCGAGGTCTTTCTGGCTACTTCCTGCTGAACTGGGATGGCGAGGGGCATTGGGCCTCCCCCACTTGCTAGTCTCAGGCCTCAGAGTCCTTATAGAAGTGTCCATCTAAGGGTGAGTGATGTTTTCCGTGGTTGGCTGTAGTTTTATATCTTTGATGAACTGGCACTGCATGCTGTAGCTTGACAGGTGTATTGAGTATCCTCTTCTGTTTTCTTCCACAGCTTGACTCGTGAGTAGTGAATCCAGGAGTCATGTCCCGGCACCTTGACTGCTGGTGGCAGAGGCTTAGCCTCTATGATCTCAAAATGGGAGACTACTGCATATCCGGCTCTTCTTTTTCCATCCAAGACAAAGCTGCTTCCATCAGTGTACCAGATTTCCTCAAGATTGGTCAGAGGGTCTTCTGACAATCCCTCTCGGGGTTTTGTCCAATGGTCCAAGGTTCCTAGGCAGAAGTGAAAGGGGAGACAGCCCTCAGGGGTAGGCAGGAGGGTGGCTGGGTTAAGAACCTCACAAGGGGATATAGTGAGGCCTGGATTTTTCATAAATATTACTTGATATCTGAGGATTCTCAGATTTTTAAGATTTTTTTAAATTTTTCATCAGAAAAGGTGTTTTTTTGTTTTTTTTTAATGACAAAGCTAATTGTTGGTTAGGAGTAGAGAAAAATAGATCCCCTCCCATACTTTTAGAGGGAGTATAAACTGAAGCAATACTTTTGGAATGTAACCTAACAAGAAAGTATCAAGTGCCACAAGAAATGTATAGTTTCTGACCAACACAATATTTGAGCACCATGACATAAGCACTTCAAGATAAGCTATAGAGCAAAAATTTAAACCCTTAAAGATGGTGTGGGGGTAGGGCTGATGCATCAAACTATAGTTTACCCCCAGGACAGAATGTCTGATGACAAGTGAAAAATCACACTGAAATTATGGGAAAAAAAAAAAAAAAAAAGCCAAATGCATAGGAACAGAAAACACATCAGGGGCTTGGGGTCAGGGAGAAGTCGATTGCAAATGACCATGAGAGAACTGGGGACAAGGGGGGTTGGTGATGAAAACATTCTGTATCTGAGCTGGTGGTGGCACAACTGTAAAGGTTTGTCCAAACTGATAGAAATATACACTCAAAAGTTGAGTCTGGGGGTTTCCCTGGCAGTCTAGTGGTTAAGACTCTGCCCTTTCACTGCAGGAGTCTCAGGCTCCATCCTTGGTCAGGGATCTTAATCCTGGCATGTCTCATGTAACACACTGCCCCCCCCCCCCCAAATTGAGTTTTACTCCATGTAAATTATACCTCAATAAATATAACTTTAAAAAAATCCAGTTGAAGAATATCGAACAACTTGTGCTTAGTCCCTCAGTCGTGTCTTTTTGTGACCCCCATGGGCTGTAGCCTGCCAGGCTCCTCTGCCCATGGGGATTTTCCAGGCAAGGATACTGGAGTGGGTTGCCATGCCCTCCTCCAGGGGATCTTCCCAACCCAGGGATGGAACTCAGGTCTCCCACATTGCAGGCAGATTCTTTACCCTCTGAACTACCAGGGAAGCCCATCAACACTGGAGTGGGTCGCCTATCCCTTCTCCAGGAGATCTTCCCCACCTAGGAATCGAACAGGAGTCTCCTGCATTGCAGGCGGATTCTTTACTAGCTGAGCTACCAGGGAAGCCCATTAAACAGCTTGGGGAAATATAAACGGTAGATTGAATAAGTAATTTGCAAAGTAGCATGCAAGTGTGATTGGAACTTGGAAGTGAGGTTACACGTTCTGAGAGTGATGGAGATGGGGTGGTCTTGGCGAGACAGACTGGAAAGAAATGCACTAACATCTACCAGTATCTCTGGAAGTGAAATTAAATTTTTCTCCTTGCGTTCTGTGTGTGTGTGTGTGTGTGTGTGTGTGTTTGCCGCGTACAACGCTTCTGTCAGGGGGCAAAATGTTACACTTGGAACCCCGGTCCACTTGCATCGTCTTTCGGGTGCTTTAAGGTTCTTTTCTCTTTGGTGGAGCTACCAAACAAGAGAGAAACCCATTCGGGCGGGGGGCGGGGGGCAACCACCGGTGGGCAGAAGAGAGCCGGAGCAGAGGGGCGGGTGAAGAGAAGGACCAGTGGGGTGAAGGCGGGGGGCGGGCGAGTAAGACTCGGGCGTAGGGATGGCAAGCGGGTGGGGGCGGGCGAGCAGGCGAGCAGAATGTGCTATCCTGCGTCTAATTGGGGCAGAGATGCTGCGAGGGGCCGGCCGCGTCCCTATTGGTTCTTCGGACAATCACAGCACCTCCTGGAGCTTAATCATTTCCTGAGCTCAGCTGCAGCGAAGAGGGCGTCACCATGATAAGTGAGTTTCTCCTTCCCATCAGGCGGGCGTCCTGGGCAGGGGGCGGCCCTCCCGGACCCCAACCCACCAAGGGCCAGAGGACTCGCTTCTTTCCCTCAATACTTCAACCAATTCTCTCTCTCTCCTCTCTCTCAAGAACGAGCGGCGGCCGCTGCGATCGGAGGAGGTGACTTGCCTGCATCCCTGCATCCCCGAATCGCCAGGCCTTCTCCTGGTCCCGGTCCGGGGCTGGATGGGAGGCCTTAGAGAGGGGGCTCCCCCTCCTCTCCCGGAGCCGCTGGGGTGATTCTTAGGGACCGAGAGCGGTACACCCTAGGAAGAGGACCCCGCGATCCCCCACGTAGCTACTCCTCTAGTCCTTATATGTAAAGAGTATGTAGAGAAGATTTCATTTGGAAGGGTATTGCTGCTAAAAACAGCAGTGGTTTATTGGTTTATTTCACCCCCACACTCACACACACACACACACACACACACACACACACACACCCTGAAGCCCAGTTAGAGACCCCACACTGACACACACACACACCCTGAAGCCCAGTTAGAGACCACACACACACACACACACACACACACCCCGAAGCCCAGTTAGAGACCACACACACACACACACACACACACACCCCGAAGCCCAGTTAGAGACCACACACACACACACACACACACACCCCGAAGCCCAGTTAGAGACCACACACACACACACACACACACACACACACACACACCCTGAAGCCCAGTTAGAGACTCAAATAGGTGCTTCCCCTAAACAACTGTCCCTAACTGGCTCCACAACTGCCTTCCCACACCTTCGGACCCTTCTCCAAGGGGCTGTCTCCTGTCTGCTCCGAGCAGACAGTCCCCAGAAACTGCCAAGGACTCCTAAGGAGGGGTCCACTCCCCTGAGCCCATGCCCCCGACCCCAAAGCTCCTCTCTCCCTGCAGCCCTGGCCGTGGCGGCTGTGCCCGCGGTGCTGGGCGCCATGGGCTTCACCGGGGCTGGAATCGCCGCCTCCTCCATCGCGGCCAAGATGATGTCAGCGGCCGCCGCGGCCAATGGAGGCGGAGTTGCCGCCGGCAGCCTGGTGGCCACTCTCCAGTCCGTGGGTAAGGGTCCGGGCTGGAAGCGGGGCGCGGGGAACAGAGGGGAGGAGGGTCCGACCAGCTCTAGAGTCGGCCCGAGGCTCAGCCTGAGGGAGGGCTGGCTGGTCCCTCCCCTCCAGTTTCGTGGTCCTCAATGTCCCTGGTTCTTCGTCTCTCCCTCACTGTCCTCCCCGAGTCCTGGCTGAGCCTTGCGGGCAGGAGTGGAGTGGAGGGCTGAGGGGTCCTGGGAAAGGGAAGAAGGGAAGGAGCCCAGGGCTTGTGAGAGCTGGGCTCTGGGTCTTTATTGTTGCTTAGTCACTAAGTCGTGTCTGACTCTTTTCAGACCCCATGGACTGTAGCCTACCAGGCTCCTCTGTCCATGGGATTTTTCAGGCAAGAATATCAGTGTGGGTTGCCATCTCCTCCAGTGGATCTTCCCACCAAGAACCGAACCCGCATCTCCTGCATTGGCAGGTTCTTTACCACGGAGCCACCAGGGAAGCGTGGGCTCTGGGTCTAGCCCTGCCCAAATCTGACACCTGAGTGGCCTGGGCAGGTCCCTCCCCTCTCTGAGCCTCAGTGGGACCTGTTGCTCTTGGGGTCTGTGGCTGACTCTCTCTCTTTACCCCCTTCTCTGGCTCTTTCAGCTGCCTCTAGCTCCCTCCGCCCAAAGCAGAGCCCTGGGGTATTCAGGACCTAGAGGAGGCATCCACATGGGATCTCTGGGCCTCAGGCCTTCTGAGGGGGTCCCAGTCACTCGCCACTGGACCCTTCCTGCACTCACCCTCTGTCTCTCCCACAGGGGCAGCTGGACTCTCCACATCATCCAACATCCTCCTGGGCTCCGTTGGATCAGCTTTTGGGGCTTTGCTTGGAGGGGCAAAAAGGGCACCTCCTTCCCCTCCTCCAGGTGGATCCAGACCTGAAGGAGAGCAGCCAGGAGGAAATGTACCCCAAGTCGAGCCTCCAAAACCCCCGCTCAGGCCAGAGAAGCATGAGAAATAAAGATCATCTGCAGATGTACTTCCCTGTCTTTGCTCCTTGCAGCCCTGGGAGGTTGTGAGTTGTGAACCAGAAGTTTCGATTTCTCCCCATCCTCCCAACCTGATGGGCTTCCCAGGTGACTCAGTGGTAAAGAATCCACCTGCCAATGCAGGAGATGTGAGTGCAGTCCCTGGGTCAGAAAGACCCCCTGGAAAAAGGAGATGGCAACCCACTCCAGTATTCTTGCCTGGGAAATCCCATGAACAGAGGAGCCTGTTGGGCTACAGTCCATGGGGTTGCAGAGTCGGACATGACTTAGCAACTGAACCACCACACTCCCAACCTGTCTTCTGGTGGGGGGCAGAGGGGGGTGGCTGGCTGATCAAGCACAGTATCACTTGGCAGGAGGCTCTCATTGGTCCCCATCTTACAGAGCATGGGCTGTATAACCCAGGGCCATTCGTGGGCCATCAGTGGGTCTCAGTTTACCACTCACTCAATAATGCTGAGTGCTTACTTGCTCAGTCGTGTCCAACTCTTCACAACTGCCTGGACAATAGCCCGCCAGGCCCATCTGTCTATAGGCAGGTAGGCACTCATGGTAGCATATAGGATGCATATAGAGCCACTGACCCCAGATCCCTCTGCCCTTGCTCATTAATGGACACCAGACATCCAGAGGTGGTCAGGACACTGGCCTTTCTCAGAACGCTGTGGGGAGGCTGACAAGCAGACCACCAGGACAAGGACACTGGAGTGTGCCAAGTGTTACAGTGGGCACCTCGAGAGGAAGAGATGGGGTCAGGAGTGGTCCCTACGCTTTGTGTCTGGAAAATTGAAAGGGAACTGGCATTTACCAGTTCCTCCCCTGGCAACAAGAGTTCCTGGTCTCCTCTGAGACTCCATTCCCATCCAAAGTGAGCTCTCACTTCCTTCCAGAGAGGCCTCATTGTCTGGAGTCTTTTTAAAGGAGGAGATCATCAGTTCTAAAACTGCTGCTCCTAACCCTGTGAAGAAGGAGGGGCTGCTTAGGACACAGGAAGCTGGAGAGTGTTACTCCCCCCGACAATAAGAAAAAGCCTGAAAACCTACAAAAGCATAACTTTCCTTGAACCCCTGAAAGAGCTGAAGAGGCAGGGCCACCAGATGGGCCTGAATTCTGAGGGAGATCAGGTTCCTCCAAGGAGAACCCTGGAGACCACCCTGGGCAGAGCACAGGAGGGAGCTGGGGCCAGTGCAGGGGGGTGTAAGTTCAGCTGAAAGCCTTAACTATCCTTAGGGGCAAGGGTAGGCTACCATGAGTTCAGGGCGGCCCCGGGGAGTTACAGTCACAAGGATGGATGCTTCAGGCCAGCCTGAAGGTTCTTCTCCCAGCGACCCACTGGGTGCTCCCAAGAAAGACTGGAGGCAGGAGGAAACCCAGGGAAAATGTCCCTCATTGAGGCAAGACTGGCAGAGGGGAGCTGCAGCCCCACCCCCTAGGGAACAAAAGCCTTATTCTGCTAGGGCAAGGAGAGTAAACGGCAGTCCACAGAGCACAGGTGAAGATCATTGTAGACGGGAAAGAAAAAGAGAAAAAAAAAATGCCTTTCCCCCTGAAGTTGGGGTGCTAACCTTTCTGGATTCGGATGGTAATGCTCTGCCCACCACTGGGGCAGCAGGGGGAGGGGAAGGGTATCCAGAAACCAGCGCCCCCAAGTCCAGGTCCACAGCGCCTGCGAAGACTAAGACCCCCCTGGGGCCACAGAGAACCCCTCGGCCCTGGCTGCCAGGCTAGCAAAGGACAAGCAACACTGCAGGAAGGCCAAGGAACCCAGTCGTGAAGTTGCTGGATCACAGACGGCAGCCACAGGAACAACAAACTCCAGACCCCAGCTGAACTCCTGATCAGATCGACCTCCCACGCACATGCCCAGTTGTGCCAGACTGTACGGGGGGTCTGCCGGGCGCAGGGGGCGAATCTGTGTCTTCTGCATTGGCAGGTGGATTCTTTATTGCTGAGCCATCTGGGAAACCCGCTCCTCGCCACGCCCCCTTGCCGGCCGGGCACCTGGTGCAGGGCCCGGCATAAATCCCGTTCACCTCTGTTTCCACTGGGCCAGAGCAACAGATCCTGCGGGAGCTTTGCCCAGGTCTCCCCAACACTGGCTCCCAGTGCCTGCCCGCTGCTCCCCCCCTGCCAGGCCCTGCCCCTGGGGGTGACAAGGCAGGCTGTCACCCCCACCCCCAGAATGGCCCCCAGCCAGGGACGGGTTTTAGTTTTGGGGGATAACTCCCCACCTCCAGAGGTCACATACCAGCACATACCAGCTAAACAGATCTTCAAGAGTTAAACAATCTTGGTTTTTCTTTAGCTGTTACTATTAACACTAACAAATACTTGTAGCTAGACTTGCCCTTCACAAAGTTAAACGAAGCTAATTACTCTCCGACTTCATACAAGTTGTATTCTGCACCTGGCATTCTTTTCCCACACCCTTGCAGCATCTGCATTTCAAGGGGAAAAAAAAAAGGTCAGGAGACAATAAGTTTAGGGACACCAGACCCAGTTCTTCAATTGCCTAAATGCTGTGGCCATTTCGAAACCTTGCAAAAGGAAAAAGAATGATGATAGAAAACCTCTCCCTATTCCCAGGGAGGGGGCGCACAGTCCTTGAGGCCCTAGCCAACTGTGTTTCCCTTTTGCTCCTCAAAAATGAATAAATAAATAAAGCTGCTCTTTCCTTTTTCCTCCAAACTCTATCTCCGTATTTCCATTCCACATCCGTAGACAGGGAGCCAAGATCTAGGAAACACTAATCTGCACAAAGCCACGGGTCAAGGCCCTTGAGGGTGATCATGCAAACCAGCGGACAGTCCCTAATTCTGTAGTTTGTCAGGGAAAGCCTGGCACAGTTTCAGTTTCCCTTTCCATTTCGGTTTCCTTTTTTGCTGGAAGATCCCTGTTCCCAAAATCACTCAAGAGAGTCTGGTGGAGGCTGGCTGGACAAGGGTTGTAATCATTTAAGTGTATCCCTCCCCAACCTCAGGTCTCTTCATCAATTTGAAATTATTTGAGTCATTATGAAAGCTATTTTATCTCCCTGAACACAAGCTGATTGCTTGAGCAGGCAGCTGGGACAGAGCTGATGGGCAGCGAGCCAGGTAAAGGCTCCAGATCTGGAAATAACGCACCAAGAAAATGTGAGTTATGGAAAGAAGCCCGTCTTCAATAGCAGCCAGAGTCAGGGACTTGGGGTCGTGTCTTACAGGTTCTTTCAACAACATCTGTAAAAACAGGGGCGGCAGTGTGACCTTTCTTGGAATAGGGTGTGGATTTTATGTGATGCTTCAAGCGCGGGGTCTTAACCAGGATAAATATATTTCTATTGTTGTTTACTTTTTTTATAATTATTGACTTATTTTTATTCTTAAAACATCAAAAATACTATCAAATAACTTTTTTTTCCTTTTTTTCCCATTTATTTTTATTAGTTGGAGGCTAATTACTTTACAATATTGTAGTGGCTTTTGCCATACATTGACATGAATCAGCCATGGATTTACATGTGTTCCCCATCCCAATACCCACTCCCACCTCCCACTGGGTCTTCCCAGTGCACCAGCCTCGAGCACTTGTCTCATGCATCCAACCTGGGCTGGTGATCTGTTTCACGCTTGATAGTATACTTGTTTCAATGCTATTCTCTCAGAACATCCCACCCTCGCCTTCTCCCACAGAGTCCAAAAGTCTGTTCTGTACATCTGTGTCTCTTTTTCTGTTTTTCATATAGGGTTATCCTTACCATCTTTTGAAATTCCATATATATGTGTTAGTATACTGTATTGATCTTGATCTTTCTGGCTTACTTCACTCTGTATAATGGGCTCCAGTTTCATCCATCTCATTAGAACTGATTCAAATGAATTCTTTTTAATGGCTGAGTAATATTCCATTGTGTATATGTACCACAGCTTCCTTATGCTGCTGCTCTTGTCCCAGTGCTTTTAGAATTGCTCTGGGGGTAAGAGACACCGAGTTTGATCTCTGAGTCACAAGATCCCCTGGAGGAGGAAATGGCAACCCACTCCAGTATTCTTGCCTGGAGAATCCCATGGACAGAGGAGCCTGTCGTCGGGCTGCAGTCGACGAGGTTGCAAAGAGTTGGGTGACTGAGCACAAACCCTTTCATGTCTGAACCTTCACAGATGTCACATCACTGCAATAACAACAGAAATGAAGTTTCTTTCCTCTCCTGAGAACAAGGGAAGTAAGGGGAACAGGGAGCAGGCTAGAGGAGAAACGTAAACAGGCCTGAAAGTGTTAATCAGCCTCACTTTTAAGAGTTACTAATCTTTAGTGTCTGACTCAATCTGTCCTTCAGAAAGCTAACCTATCACCCCGATACTATGTAAACACAGGGTCCCCAAATCTCTGGGATCTAATGCCTGATGATCTGAGGTGGAACTGATGTAACAATAATAGAAATAAAGTACACAATAAATGCAATACATTTGAATCATCCCCAAACCATCACCCACCCCATCGGCCCATGGAAAAATTGTCCTCCATGTAAACCGTCCCTGGTGCCATAAAGGTTGGGGACAGCTGATGTAAGTTAGATCCTGCACTTGGTATTTGCTCTTTTTGCACTCTCTTATAGCAAATCACCCCTTATAGCTGTTTGCATTTCAGAAAGAAGGTCACAGGTCAATAACCCAGAGATAAATGGATCCAATTACTGGGCTGCCTGACACTAGCTGTGACTGTTTTGAAATAATTCAGGAAGAACAATGCAAGACATTCATTACTTTGAGCCAATCGTTTACCCTAAAACCACAAGACCCAGGCTACATCAGTTAGGTTCAGTTCAGTTGCTCAGTCGTGTCCTACTCTTTGCAACTCCATGGACTGCAGCACACCAGGCCTCCCTGTCCATCACCAACTCCCGGAATTTATTCACACTCATGTCCATTAAGTCAGTGATGTCATCCAGCCATCTCATCCTCTGTCATCCCCTTCTCCTGCCTTCAATCTTTCCCAGCATCAGAGTCTTTCAAATGGGTCAGTTCTTCGCATGAGGTAGCCAAAGTATTGGAGTTTCAACTTCAACATCAGTCCTTCCAATGAATATTCAGGACTGATTTCCTTTAGGATGGACTGGCTGGATCTCCTTGCAGTCCAAGGGACTCTCAAGNTATCAGTCCTTCCAATGAATATTCAGGACTGATTTCCTTTAGGATGGACTGGCTGGATCTCCTTGCAGTCCAAGGGACTCTCAAGAGTCTTCTCCAACTTCGGTACTCGGCTTTCTTTATACATAACTTCTTTAAATTTAAATTCTACATAACTTCTTTAAATTCGCCTAGGAGGAGGGCACAGTTCTTGAGGGGATAGTCTGCTGCGTTCTCCCCTTGACTGGTAGAGGAGTAAAGCCATCTTTCAATTTCCTCCAAACTCTATCTCCATATTTTTTTTTAATTGGGATATAGCTGATTAACAATGTTGTGATAGTTTCAGGTGAACAGGGAAAGGACTCAGCCATGTATCCGTTCTCCCCCAAACTCCCCTCCTATCCAGGCTGCCAGATAACCTTGAGCAGAGGTCCATGTGCTATATAGTAGGTCCTTGCTGGTTATCCATTTAAAATATAACAGTGTGTACATGTCCATCCCAAACTCCCTAACTATACCTTTCCCTCAACCCTTCCTGCTGGCAACCATGTTTGTTCTCTGAGTCTCTTTCTGTTTTGTAAATAAATTCATTTGTATACTTTCTTTACAGTTTGCACATATAAGGGATGTCACATGATATTTCTCCTTTTCCATCTGATTTCACTCAGTATGACAATCTGTAGGTCCATCAATGTTGCTGAAAATGACATCATTTCATAATTTTTAATGGCTGAGTATATATGTACCACATCTTCTTTATCCAGTCCTCTGTCAATGGACACTTAGGTTGCTTCCATGTCTTGGCTTTTAAACAGTGCTGCAACAAATACTGAGGTCAATGTATCCTTTTGGAGCATGTTCTTCTGTGTATTCAGCATCAGTGGACAAGGAGTCAGGAATTTGGCAACACCATGACAAGCTTTGCCACAGGAGTTGCTCTCGTCAACTTGGAGACCATATGAGGTCTGGATGAACCTTTCAACAGGCATCTCCTTCCAGATATCAGAACATGAGCAGTTTCTTTTCTTGGGCTGGTCATATTCTCAAGAAGAATTTTCCTCCCTCCGTTTTGGATGTTGTAGCTAGCTGCAGCATTCTCAGTTCCTGTCAACGAGGAAGGCTGAGAGTCTCAGCCCTTGTGTGGAGACTCTCATTCTAGCTTGAAGTTCCCGGTGCCTCCTGGCCCAGGGGCCCCCACCTCACCAAAACTAAACTTCCAGGAGTCCACCAGAGGGGACTCCCTGGGGGCCTGCCTGCTTCCTAAATAGACTTCCAGCCAGCCCTCTTGCAGCTAGTCCATCTTCCTGCCTACCTGCAGTAGCGCACACCACTCTGATGTCCAAGGCTCTGGGGGTCCTAAGGGCAAAGTTGCCTCTTTTTCCCTTTATCCACTGACACCTTAAGATTCGACTTTCTTGGGACTGCCAAGTAGAGCCCCATGTCCGTGTGACTTCTGCCTTCTAAATTATGTTACTGTCATCTTCTCTCCCAGTCTCTTTGTTGATATGGGTTTAAGCCTTTCTTTAGTCCTTTCCTGTTGTTTTAGTGGAATTTTGAGAAGGAACAGGTAAAAATAACTCTCTTCATTGGATTGATTTCTCTATTACTTGTAATCAAAAGATTCCCCTGTGTTCATGAGAATATACATTTGCTTATTGTAAAAGAAGCCCTCTTGACTTAAACAAGAGAGGTTTCTTTCTCTATTACTCAGCCACATAAGAGAGTGGTGGTTCAGCTCAGGGAGGCCCAGGCTCCTGCAGTCTTGTTGCTCTGCCTTCCTTAAAATGCTGCTGTCACCTGCAGGTGGAGGGTGGTCACCCCCCTGACCACAGCAGAGCCCATGGGAAGAGGCCAAGGGGCAAGGCGGAGCCCCCCACTCCCCTTAAGGGAATGCCCAGAAAGTTGCATACATTTCCACTCACTTCCCACTGGCCAGACCCAGTCCTGTGAGCACTTCACTGCAAGAGGACTGAGAATGCAGTCCTTGCCTGGGAATCATATACCAGCCAAAGATCAGGGCTCTGATATTTGCCAGAAGGAAGGAGTAGTCCTGTGCCATGTTGATGAAGACAGGAAGCCATCCTAGCTAGATTCCCACAGTGGGAATTTGCCCTGCCTCCTCATGCCCTACTGAAACTGCACAACTCAGATGGGACTCAAATCCAGCCAAAACCCAGGTTTGGACTTGAATCCACTGTCTTTTAATTCAGATCACACACCTGGTCTCAGGACTTAAGGAAGCTCAGGTTGTTTATATTTCAGCACAGAAGGAATTCAGCAAGAGGCAAAGTGATAGGTAACAATGGATTTATTTAGAGAGATACACATTCTATAGACAGAACATGGGCTCTCTCAGAAGGCAAGAGGCTGTGAAATATGGGGTGGTTAAAATTTTTTTTTTTTAATTTTACTTATTTGTGACTGCTGGGTCTTCACTGCTGTTCTGAGGCTTTCTCTAGTTGCTGTGAGCAGGAGCTACGCTGCTTGCTGGGAATTGAGATCCTGTCAGGTTGCTGATGGCTCCTAGGAGAGAGCGGTCAGGGGTGTCGGGCTTGTGACAGGGTCACAGCCATATTGAAAACCCTTCAGCATTCCTCCAAAACCCTCCAGACAGAATTCAAGCTCCCCGTCCTCAATATGCCTACTATGGTCTGAATGTTTGTATCCCCCTGAGAAATGGAGCATTTCCTGCCATATCAATAAACAAGGATGTCACAGTCACCAGTGATTCCAGTCCTCCAGGGCAGCTAGGAAGGAGAAGGATGCCTGCTCCGTCTGGCAGCATTAGGCTGCAGCCCCTCCCTACAGTGAGCACTGAGGAACTCAGGATGTGAAAAACACAGGATACTGGCCCCAGATAGCCGAGATGCATATGAAAGAAATGATTTCAGTGAGCCCAGACTCTAGCATCTTCCCATACATTGAAAAGCCCCATGCATAGAAAAGCACTAAATTTCTTAACCTGAGATATCTAGTTTCCTTTAATTCACAACAATACTTTTGATGTTCAGACTACCTGCCCTCTGTTACAAACTTCTATATGACCTGACTCCTCCCCTCACCTTCTCCGGGCAGTTCTCTCAGGGTTACTTGAGATGCTGTCTCCTGGGCTTGAAGTCCTAAAAATTCCCACCAAATAAAACCCAATTCTCATCTTTTAGGTTGTGACTTTTTTAAGCTGGCAGTGTTCTTATAAAAGAGGTCATAGAGCACTCTTCTGCCCTTGCCATCATGTGAGGACCCAGGGAAAAGTCAGTCACCTAGGAACCTAAATCTGCTGTAGCCTAGATCTCTGATTTCCCAGCCTCTAGTACTATGAGAAATAAAATTTCTGTTGTTTATAAGCTGCCCATTTTATAGTATTTTTGTTACAGCAGCCTGAAAGGACTAAGACGGTACTGTCTGTGCCTTCCTTCTGGGCATGCCCACAGCCCTGGGCTGGACTCTGGTGTCATCAGAAGCCAACATCAATGGACCACTGCCTGGTGGTCCATCCACCCAGCCAACTAGGAGTGCTGCCTCGGGAAGGCCAAATTCCCTAGCACCAAGCCCAGTTCCTCTCCTGCAGCACATGCTCAAAGATTTTGTAGAAAGGAGGACTGAATCAACCCCTAAGTGAATTTTCTGGTGTTTTGGGATGGAACCCATCCTGCTGATAAGGAGTTTCTAAAAGGCCTTACACTGGGGTGAGAAGGGTAATTAGGGACCAAGGCACTGAAGTGGAAAGATCAGTGCAGCTGTGCTAAGTCACTTCAGTTGTAAATGACTCTTTGTAACCCTATGGACTGTAGCCTGTCAGGCTTCTCTGTCCATGGGATTTCCCAGCAAGAATACTGGAGTGGGTTGCCATTTCCTCCTCCGGGGGAAATCTTCCCAACCCAGGGTTTGAACCGCATCTCTTATATCTCCTGCATTGCCAGGCGAGTTCTTTGCCACTAGCGCCACAAGCTGGGAAATCAGGCCCCCCTGACAAACTAGGTTTCCTTTCTAACTATTGGGGGAAAAAAGCCAAGGCATTGGACTTTGACTTCGGAAGGAAGCAGTGACATCCTGAGACCCTAGCTTTCTGAGCCTGAGGCTGGCCACTTAGGAAACAGCCATGGGTAGGGTGCCTGCAAATGAAGCTCCAGAGAGGAAGCTCCCTTCCATTCCATTCCTGACTTTGCATAGGCACTGTGCCCAACATCCACCCTACCTGAGACCTTTGAGTTTAATCAAATGAACATCCGATATAGAGAAGGATAAATGCAGACCCAGAGTGGAGGTGACTCCCCTGGGGTCACACACAGCCCTAAGCCAGGCAGGGGGAGCCTCCGGTCTTCACATTTAGACTCAGTCCAGCTCTGGGCACCCCAACACCATGTCACTCTAAGAGTGGTAAGCCTCCCCCCCACCTGACTTCAGGCCAGCAAGAAGGAAGGGACCCAGAGGCGTGGCAAAACTCGGTTTTTTTTTCACAACTCGTTTTTATTTCTCATTTTCTTCTGGGGGTACAGTGTTTGGCACTTGTCACCCCAGGACTGGGTCCCTCACTGCATCAGGCTGGCAGCCAGGGCCCCACCTGGCCCTCTTCTCTGCCGAGGGAGAGACAGGAAACTGTTACAGGCCCACCAGTTTGGACACGAGGGTGGACCCAGCGAAGCCCAGCAGGAGTTTGGATGACATGCAGAGTCCACTTGCTCCTGGGGGAGAAGCAGAGGGTGAGTAGAGTGGGGTGGGCAGGCTGGAGGGGCGTCAGGCCCAGAGATCCCACCCAGAACCCTCTTCTGCTTCCCCAGCCCCCAGGGATCTCTGTTTGCAGGAGTGCTGCTGCAGGCAGGTACGCAAAGGCATGAACTCCGGTGATGAAATCAAGAGCCGGGAGCTGCCTCCCTCTCCAGGGAAGAAAGCTGAGCCCCAGGTGGGACAGAGATGCCCCAGCTAACCCAGAAAATCTGCTTTGGGCAGAGTCAGCCTGATCCCAGCACAGCTACAGGCCAGAGCATCTTCCCTCCTTCCTATATCTGCTTCAGAGAAACCCAGAGAGAGAGAGGGACCACGGAGGCAATACCAAGGGACAGGCAGACTGGGGCTCACTGGGGCTGAGGTCAGGGCCAGAGGCGCTGAGGCTGCTGCCCTTCCCCCTCAGCCCTACGAGCAAGCCCTGCCCGGGACACTTACCCACAGACTGGAGGGTGGCCACCAGGCTGCCAGCGGCCACTCCGCCCCCGTTGGCAATGGCAGATATTGACATCATCTTGGCCGCTAGGGAGGAGGCGGTGATTCCTGCACTGGTGAAGCCCACCGCGCCCAGCACCGCGGGCACAGCCGCCACGGCGGAAGCTGTACCGGGAGAGGACCTGGGGTGAGGGGGATGGATATCCCCCTCCAAACACACTCATGACATCAAGCTTGGGGGCTTTGGGAGGTCTGGAGAAGGTTAAGTCTGGGCTTGGGAGAGACTCCAGCATGGCCAGCAGTCAGGAGTCCAGGGAAGCCCCAGCTGATGGGGAAAGCGGAGGGAAGGGCTGTGGGGTCACCGGGGACACGGTGCTGGCTCTCAGCAGGACCTTCCTTGGGAAAGGCCTCAGTTTCTGCCTTAGTAAGATGCTGGAACTGGGGAGGGGGAGGGGGATATTTGCAAGCTTCCTGTCTTTGCTGCGGAAATGTTTAAGCAAATTTTACCGAGGGCCCAGCATAAAGCAAGGAACACATGCTGAGCCCCGCTTGAATCCCAGCTCTGGGCCTCCACAGCATCACTGCAGAGCCCTTGGCAGCCAGAGCCACTGGGCTTCTCCTCAGTGCATCTCGTGCGTCCAAACCGTGCACACGTGTCACCCTACATAATCCCCACGGTAATCCTGAAAGAGCAGTCTTGGCCTGTTTTTCACGAGAAAAGCTGAGCTCAGAGGATTTCAAAGCCACATCCAAGGTCACATGGTGAAGGGTCTGCAAGAAACCTGGGCCCCTGTTGGGGCTGCCTCCACAAGAGTTTCCGAGGAAACTTCATTTCTCATTCCATCGCCTCCTCCCCCACCATGGACAGGAGGCCTGGGGCAGGCTAGGGAGGTACAAGGCCAGTTGCTTCCCAAGTCCCAGGGCTTGGGGACAGACAAGGACGAGCTTGGCCCAGCAGAGACTCACCTCCGCCCACCACAGCTACAGCAGCCTTGGCTGGAAATCAAAAGAACATTCTGTGAGTGGACCTACACTGGCCACCACCCCTCCACTCCCTGAGCCCACAGTCAACCTATAGGGAGGGGGCTGCCCCAGCCTGGGAGACACAGGAAGGAAGGAGCCTGCCTGCTTCACCCAGAGAAGTGGGATTTCCTAAGAAGGGGCTCTCTGGGCCCTGATGTTAGTTCATCTGAAAAAGGGTCAGTATTTTATGAGTATGTAATGAAAATGTTAGTCACTCAATTGTGTCCGACTCTTTGCAACCCCATGGACTATAGCCTGCCAGGCTCCTCTGACCATGAAAATCTCCAGGCAAGAATACTGGACTTGGTAGCCATTCCCTTCTCCAGGGAATTTTCTGACCCAGGGATTGAACCCAGTTCTCCTGCATTGCAAGCAGATTCTTTACCAACAGAACCACCAGGGAAGTCCGTGAGTGTGAAAGTCAGAGGTATCATATGACCTTCTCCTATCTATCATCCAGAGAAAGTTCTTCAGACAGCAGTAGATCCTCACATAGAGAGACATGTTTAATTTTGCAGGACTTCACTGAAATCTGGGCAAACATTGTTGAATGCTTGAGTGCTACTTGAGAACAGTGCTGGAACGCCTTGAATGCTCCTGATTCTTCAAGACCACACCTGTTGCCTCCTCCTCTGGAAGGCTGCCCCAGTCTCTCCCAATCGGAACCATCCTTGCTTCCCTGTGGCTGGAGCCATTCACAGCACAGGACCATGGTTCCCTGAAACTGAGAGTTCCTGGAACTCCCTGGCAGAGGTCTTAGTCTGTGGCAGCCACAGAAGCCAAGACTGCAATCTTTGGGGCCAGTGGGGAGCAGGAGTTCTAAAAACAGCAAGGTGTGCGGGAGTGGGCTCAGCCAGCCTCCCAAGATGAGAGTTTAGGGGTGGCAGTTAAGGAAGTAAAGAGGGTATGAAAATCAAACCCTAAGTGACCAGGAGGGCTTCCCTGGTGACTCAGTGGTAAGGAATCTGCCTGCCAATGCAGGAGATGTGGGTTTGATCCCTGGGTTGGGAAGATGCCTTGGAGAAGGAAAGGGCAACCCACTTCCATATTCTTGCCTGGAAAATCCCATGGCGCCCCCACACCCGGCCCCCCACCAGCCCCTACCAGGAACACTCACCCAGGGAAGGAAGTCCTGCCAAGATGCTGTTGGAGGCCGCCCCACCCACTTTGGCCAGGCTCCCTGCAGACAGCATCTTAGAAGCCAGCTTAGAGGCTAAGAGGGCAGCCTTGGTGAATTCCATGGCACCAAAACTGACCAGCACCAAACCTGCCGAAAGAGTGGAGCCTGGATGGGGGATAGGGACACCAGAAGTGGGGACAGACCCACCGCCCTGAAAAATCTCAAGGGGCTCCAGTGGGTAGGGAGGCTGCTCTGAGCTTGTGGAGAACGCGGGCTTGGGAAGGGCCCAAAGATACGGTGTTGGGGTGACAGAGTGAGGGGAAGGCAGGTGGGGAAGGGGGAAGGAGATTTTACTTCCTGAGGTGGTCTGCTTCCCTCTTCCCAAAACTCACGTTTCTAGAACGCCCTTAAACCTCCATGGAGCCATTTAAAAGGTGCCAGAATTAGGAAATCAGAACCAATCATGTTTTTAAGGCATGTGCCATGGGTCAATTTGGTCGGGTTCTTGTTCTCATGCCCTCTCCTCACTAACTCAATGAGAAGAATGAGATTATCATCCCCATTTTATGATCAAAAAACCCTGGCACAGGGATGGTAAGTGACTCATCCAAGGTCACAGAGCTTTCCTTGGCAAAGTGCACGGCAACTGATATAGCTCTGCTGCTGCTAAGCCGCTGCAGTCGTGTCCGACTCTGTGCGACCCCATAGATGGCAGCCCAGCAGGCTCCCCCGTCCCTGGGATTCTCCAGGCAAGAACACTGGAGTGGGTTGCCATTTCCTTCTCCAATGCGTGAAAGGGAGGTCGCTCAGCCATGTCCGACTCTTAGCGACCCCATGGACTGCAGCCTACCAGGCTCCTCCGTCCATGGGATTTTCCAGGCAAGATACTGGAGTGGGTGCCATTGCCTTCTCCAGATACAGGTCTAGGGCCTTCCAAAGCATGGGCTTGGAGTGGCTCTGATTTGCTTCCTCCTATTGTTTGTCTCTTCACCTGCCCATCTCGCCCCCACCCGGCCTCAAGACTTGAGGGTCACTCGGGCACGGATGAGGCTCACTGCTCCCAGAGTCTGAGAGCCCAGGGATGGGTGGAGGTTTAAGTCCCTTCCCTCTGGAGACCCAGCTTCTCTGACTGCAGCTGCCCAGATGAGAAACATGAGACGGCTCTCCCAGTGGATCCACAGGGTTCCCCCCTACAGTCACCGAGCCCAGCAGCTCCCCGAGGGTGGGGGCCACAGGAGGGAGCAGCCCCTGCCCACCCCGCCCTGTCTTACTCGGCGGAGCAGACTTTCTGAAGACGTGGACCCGCCCTGGTTATCCCGAGCGTGGCTGTGTTCAGGGAAGGTCTGAAGCAGGCTGTTTACAGCAGCTTGGCAGAGGGAGAACACCTCCCCGGACAGCAGCCAATGAGATAGCTTTCGTTTTCTCGGGATAACGAAACTCACACTCAGTTTTCTCCTCTCTGGCTAAGCCCATAGAACCCTTTAGCTGCTTCCCAGACACCCCTCCCCCATGTCCTCTGCTTTAGCTCTTCTCCGAAGTTCCAAGTTCACTGGGAGATAATAGTAGCTGATGCTAATTTCCTGAATTTTTCAAATGCTAAAACCACCACCAAATGGAAGAAATTAACCACTGGATGATCCTGAGCTCGTAGCCCCTAGACTTACTGGTGCCTAAGGGTTGATCCCGTCAGTGAATCAGAGAATTGTGCAGGAGCTGATCATACACCCTGGCCACCCCTCCCTCACCTGGCCTTTAAAAATACTTGACTGAACCATTCAGGGAGTTTAAGTTTCGGGGGGCACAAGCCACTCACTCTCCTTGCGCTGCCCTGCCATATACCTTTCTCTGCTTCAAACTCCAAAGTTTGGGTTTGTTTGGCCTCTCTCTGCCTGGGGCACCTGGACTTGCTTTTCAGAACACCTTCCCCAGAGGACCAACTGTTATTACAGAGATCAACTTTCTAACCACTTCCTGCTCTCAAGGTCTTACCAAGTGCCATTTAATTTCTCTGCTGTCTTTACTGCAAATAGGTAAAAGAGTTGTAGACGATTGCTCTCCTCTTTTTGCCTTACTCTTAAAATTTAAATATATACTATGTAATATTATAGAACATGAAATATTTTCAGGCATCCAAAAAGCTATAGATAATAAAAACAAACACTTCTTCACCCACCCCTGAGCTCAGGACTTCCAATGTTACAGATACCATTTACGTGACCTGAGAATCCCTTCTCATGTTCCTCCTTTCTCTGCCTTCTCACAGATAGTCACCCTTGAGAATTGAGGGTTGATTAGTCCCAGGCAAGGGACTTCCCAGGTGGCACCAGTGGTAAAGAATTCGACTGCCAGTGCAAGAGATGCAAGACACACAGGTTTCATTGCTGGGTTGGGAAGATCCCCTGGAGGAGGAAATGGCAACCTGCTCTAGCCTGGAAGATTCCATGGACAGAGGAGCCTGGGGGGCTACAGTCCATGGGGTCAAAGAGTCGGACACTGAGCACACACGCACGGATTCCCAGGCATGGATTTATATTTTTAAAACATAAATATTAAATGCGTACTTTTCTTGGAATTGATTGAGCGTTCATTGCTGTTTCAACTGGGGTTCAAAGACAGGGAACGTGTCAACCACGTGCCAAGAAACTTGACCTTGTAACCTCTGCTGGAACACTGTGCTAAGAAAGCAGAAAACTAGTTTTCAAAGAAGTAGAATAATCAGTTAGGGAGTTGAGATTGGAGAGGAAAGGGAGGAGAAAGAGAGAACTAGAGAGGCTTGGTGGCCAGCGCTTTCCTCCAAGTCCCAAGGATGACAGGAGAGCAAGCGGTTCCCCGGCTGGACCTCAGGGGGACTCTCCCTTGGAAAGCTTGTCGAGAATCCCTTGGAATTTGAGGGAAGCAACGACACGTGTCTCTCTTGGGTCTACAAAGGCTAAAGGCAGGAAACTGGTGCGCAGCCCTTCCTGAGAAAGGAAGGGGACCATTCTGAGGGTGGGCGGGGGGAGCTGCCCCCTTAGAGCTCCTTACAATTTCCGGTGGACCAAATGTGGAAGCAGGCAGGCCGAGCTGGAAGAGAACTGTCATCAGCACGGCCCGGAGGTGGCGGGGAGCCCAGGGTGGGTGCGCTGCAGGAGGAAAGTGGTGGAGAGCAGAGGCGGAGCTGTCCAGCCCGGGGAAGCTCCCGCTTGTCAAGGACCCTGTGGGTAAGCGAACCCAGCTGACCCAGGGTCCAAGAGCCGACAAAGAGCTGGGAGTTTGGATGTCTCCCACCAGAGGGCGCCAAAGACAGACCGACACAGCATCAGCAGCGTGCTCCTACAAAGGGACACTTATTCTGGGCCAAGCACTGTGATCTCAGGTATTAAGCATTTTAATCCTCCCAACCACCCCATGAAGAGACACAGCTGCTGCTGCTCCTGCTAAGTCGCTTCAGTTGTGTCCGCCTCTGTGCGACCCCACAGGAGGCAGCCCACCAGGCTCCGCCGTCCCTGGGATTCTCCAGGCAAGAACACTGGAGTGGGTTGCCATTTCCTTCTCCAATGCATGAAAGTGAAAAGTGAAAGTGAAGTCGCTCAGTCCTGTCCGACTCTCAGCGACCCCACGGACCGCAGCCCACCAGGCTCCGCCGTCCCTGGGATTGTCCAGGCAAGAGCACTGGAGTGGGGTGCCATTGCCTTCTCCATGAAGAGATACTACTGTCCGCATTTCACAGATGAGCTGATGAGTCTTTACTAGACTTTGCATGGGGCCCTCTCATTTTGTTCTTTACCTGAGTTCTCTGGACCCTTTTGCTTTCCCTGCCTCCTGCCCCTGCTGCATCCATTTCTTTCCAGGTCTCCACACCTAGGTGAGCACCCGCTTGGCTGAGTCTTCTGAAGACGCCTCGTGCCCCATCACCTCTCCAAGCCTCTGTGTGACCCTCAGGAACATGGTTTCCTCAAACAGCTGAACTCCGACAGTCCAGTCTCTCCTCCACTGCCCGCTCGCTATGGATGATCAGCCCTGGATGGACCCAACAGTCACAGGTCTCAAAGGTCCTTATACTGCCTACCCCAGGGGCTCCAAGAACAGGACCAAAAAAGGCTTAGGCATGCTCCACAAGGACGGAGGTCTCTGTCTCGTTAAGCATGTGTCACAGCACTCAGCATGAGTGGGCACTCAGCACACATTGGTTGAAGGAATTCCTTTTAAAGCATCTTTTCCAATGAATCCCAAGCCCTCCCATAGACAGACTGGTTATGGGTACTAAGGGCTGATAGTCACAGAATTGTTAGCCCAAAGGGGCAGGCCAGCAGCTCTCTCAGAAGTGCGGATCCCTGTCTCCCACTGTTTTCAGCTTTGAAGTTTCTGTTGAGATTCTTCCCAAGTAGGAAAGTTTTTGTTTTTGTTTTTGTTTTTGTTTTTTAAGATCCAGCTACACAAGTATTAGTAAAATAGATAAAGGCTAAATATTATATGGTATATGATTATCATGGAATGCCAAGCAGTAGCTGAAAATAATAGGAAAGACCTATAGGACAGGAAAAGGCCAGCTACACAACAATATGTGTGAGTCAAAACAAAACTCTATCAATAAAAAAGCATATAAGAGGATTACATTAAATGTTTTCTCTGAAGTTATCTATCTCTATAGCTCTGTTTCACATCCATCTACTTATCTATGTATCCCCCATCAAGAGAAGTTGCTTTATATTTACTTAAAAAAATTTTTTTTTGGCCACACCTTGCTGCAAGCAGGATCTATCTGTTCCTTAACTGGGAAATGAACCTGCTCCCTCTGCAGTGGAAGCAGGGAGAATTAACCCTTGGAACACCAGGGAAGTCCCAGAAGTCACTTTAAAAGGACATTGAAAGTACTTATCAATTGCAGCAGCACTTATTTCTGGAAATGGGAGTCAGGAACAGCAATAATTCGAGAGGATGGTTGTGGGATCCAAATCAACTTTAGCCTAGTCTGAAGTCATTTAAATTGTTAAGAGCAGAATGCATTTATTGATGAATAATATTTTTCAGGTGTGAAGTTATTATTAGAAGGAACTTATTACTAGGTGAATTTTTATTAGGTGATTTTTAATAGACCTTATTTCCTAGAGGAGTTTTAGGTTCTGAATAAAACTGAGGTTCCTAACAGAGGTTTCTCCTATATCCCCTGCCCCCGGCCACCTGCACAGCCTCCCCTGTTATCAACATGCTGCAACTTTGATAATTCACTTGTAGCAAAATGTCAGTTTTCATTAGCAGGTAATGCAACCCCATTTTGTAAAATTAAAAGTAAAAAGACAAGGGGGACCCAGAGGGATGGGGTGGAGAGGGAGGTGGGAGGGGGGACTGGGATGGGGAATACATGTAAATCCATGGCTAATTCAATGTATGACAAAAACTACTGTAATGATGTAAAGTAATTAGCCTCCAACTAATAAAAAATAAATAAATAAATAAATAAAGTAAAGGGCAAAAAAAAAAAAAAAAAGACAAGGGGGTGTTGGGAGGCATTGGGACGTTGAGATTGACACATATACACTATTGATGTTACAGGGAAGAATAAAATCTTGTATCTGTTGTATCTGTTTCTTTAACTTTTGCTTCCCATTGCTTCTGTTCACTGAAAGGATAGTGTCCATACTTAATGTCCTGCCTCGGGGAACCCTGCTCTTCTGCCTGAACGTAAAACCTAAGTACCTTTAGTCCGGAAGACAACATGACCCTGTCCACCTGTGAATGAATAGCGGCAAGAAAGAAGAAATTAACATGTCCCCTCCCTAAAACTGATCATTCCAGGAGATATTTGCAAGATAATGGCCTTTTTATTTTACACCCTCACCTTGCCCCCCTCCTCTATGTTCTGTAAAAGAAACTGGAATCCAAACCCATTTGATGATTATTTTGAGACATTAGTCTGTCATTTTCTCCGTCTGCTAGCTTTCAGAATAAAGTTGTATTCCTTGCCTCCACACCTCATCTCCAATTTATTGACCGGTCCTGGGTAAGCAAAGCAAGCTTGGACTCGGTAACACTGATACTATGTATAAAATAGATAACTAATGGAAACCGACTGTATAGCACAGCGAACTCTCCTTAATGCTCTGTGGTGGCCTAAATGGGAAGGAAGTCCGAAAGGAAGGAGATTTATGTATATTTATGGCTGAAACGACCACCGACTCAATGGACATGAGTTTGAGCAGGCTCCCGGAGTTGGTGATGGACGGGGAAGCCTGGCATGCTGCAGTTGATGGGGTTGCAAAGAGTTGGACATGACTGAGCCACTGAACTGAGAAACTAACTCAACATTATAAAACAACTGCACTCCAATAAAGATTGATTAAAAATAAAAATAAACATAAACATAAAAAGACAGAATTCTGCTGATGGTCTACCTTCCAATTCATAATGCTCTTCCCTATTCACTGAAGAGGCAGGGAATATTTAAGAAGGCAGAGAAAGACACAGCAAGCCTGGTTAGGAGGGTGATCCAGTTTTCCCACAAGGACCAGCCCTTTAACAGAGGACAAACCTCGTCTTGTCTGTAGGGCACAGTCACTGTCCTTGGCCACACAAGTGTCCTGTGTCCCTGTTCTCTTTGAAACAGGAACTTACTTCTCTTTCAGGTACTGGAGTCCCTGCCCTGACCCTGGGCTTGTCAGAGGCCTGAACGCTCCTGCCAGCCTCCAAACGTGATCCCAGAATGAGTGAAACCAATCATCACCATATCCCATCCTTTGGGCTAAAGTAACCGGTTTAGGAATAAAGAGATGACTCCGTTTAGGATACTTACAGGAACATTTACCGGAGATATTTGGGAAGGAAGTCTCCTTACTTATCAGCAGAAGGTTCATGAAAAAATACCTTTTGGGGCGAGACCAGAATAAAGAAGCAGAAAACCTCCAGAGCATGCAAACAGGCCTCTACTAAACCAGGAGCATGGCAGTCAAAGGATGGAGCTGATACCTCGGAAAGCGGATGTGACCCAGCAGGACTCCATGGGGCCTCCCTGGGACAGACCCCAGCCCCGTGGCTTTTCCCGTAGCTCCTCTCCGAGTGCTTCCCTGGTGGCTCAGAGGTGAATAATCCACCTCCCAATGCAGGAGACGCTGGTTTGACCCCCGAGTCGAGAAGATCCCCTGAAGAAGGAAGTGGCAACCCCCTCCAGTATTCTTGCCTGGGAAATCCCATGGACAGAGGAGCCTGGTGGGCTACAGTCCATCCAAAGACTTGAACATGGTTTAGCGACCAAATAACAACAAAAGTTCCTCTCTGAAGTACACAATAGTATCTCATGCATATTTCCTGAGGTTTTCAGCTGCTAAAATCCACCACCAAATGGAAGAGGTTAATTACTTGATGACCATGAGCATGTAGCCCATAGACTTACTGGAACCTAAAGATTGATAATGTTAACTGGCCTATTACCACTCCATAAACCAATCAGAGAACTGTACAAGAGCTAATCACATGCTCAGGGATGCCTTCCCTCACTTGGCTTTTAAAACTGCTTTGCTGAAACCCTATGGGGAGTTTGGGGTTTTTTTGGGCATGAGCCACCCATTCCCCTTGCATGGCCCTGCCATAATCCCCAAACTCCATTTTGGTTTGTTTAAGCTCATTGTGCCTTCGGCACACAATCTTGCATTGGGTAACACAGAGAGGAGGGATAGGAAAAAACAGCCTCTTGGATTCAGAGTTGAGCTGCTAAATCACACTTTGCCTGAAGCCAAATGACCTTTTTATTGTTCAGTTCAGCAAGCCAGTAAAGTCTCTTGAACTCTGAGCCAGTTATAACCAAGATTCTATTACTTATAACTACACAAGCCTTAAATAAACTAACACCTACTCCAAGCAGTCTTCCTAGATAACTACAATTACAATTAATGCCTGCCTTCTCTGTTTTCCATGTCATAAAGCTTGAATCTCTCAATGGATTACACACATTATTTCATGTTATCGGTTAGTTATTGGTGGGTAATAAATGCCCCCACCCTCAAATATTTATTTAGCTCATGATTCACTGAGCTAAATAGTAGTTTAGGCATGTGGTTTTCCTGGTCTCAACTGGGCTCCCTCCTACACCTGCAGTCAGCAGTGGGCTGGCTTTGTGGATCTTAGCTGGACTCATTCCTTGTCTGGAAAAAAAAGGGCTGACTCCTCCATTAGGTCTCTGTGTTGGCTTTCCTCCAGGCCAGCCTAGGTTCAGGGAGGGATAATAAATTCCAGCTCTCAGTGAGATGAGCTATACAGGTACACTGAAAGTTCACTGAAACACGGTCATTTCTGTCATTGACCACAGGTCCCTTAATGCCATTATATCTGTGCTTTCCTCAGACTGCCCACCAACACTGCACCTGTATGGAGTCTAAGCTCATATTACTTGCCACATGTCGGGTCAATAAATTGAGAGACAGGTTGTTGGGGCAATGAAAAGAGACTTTGTTCAGAACCAACAGACTGAGAAGATGGCAGTCAAGTGTCCCCCCAAAATCATCTTCCCCGAGTTAGAATTCAGCCTTCTTTTATTCTAAAAGGAGAGGCGATGTGGCTGATAGTTGCAATCTTCTTGGTACCTTTGTTCTTGGTACTATTACCATAGGTCTGGTCACAATGTTCCTATAAACCTCCAACGAAATGAATGTTATTCTCTGTTCTGCAGCTTTTTAAAGACGTGTTCTACCATTAAGAGTCAGAGCCTGGAGAATGGGCTGTTCCGTGTTATTTCAGGCTACAGGAAACATTCTTTTACAAAGGTGCAAGTTGGCATGACTAAGCATAGGCAACAGAGTACAGAAGTTAGAGCTAAAGAAATAGACCCAGTGTGGAGTCGGGTTTGTTCAATGTTACACTCATTGGGCAGAGAGGGATCCTGCAAATCTGCTGCAGCCTTAGGATACTGGGATGGAGCCCTTGAGGCCAGCTAGAAGCTGCAGGAGTGAGCTGAGGCAGCATCGTAAGGAGACAGCCAGGTGGAGAAGGAGCAGGAGGGAAGACAGGTGTGAAGGCCAGAGTGGGGACTTGGGCTGGAGTCCTGGAGCCAACAGGTTGGGATCAGAGACTCATGTTTAAGTGGAAGCAGGTCTTCCAGAACCTATTGTCGGTTATCCACATGGGCAGGGAGGTTGCAGGTGCCAAGTTAACACACATGGAGCCTGGCGCTTGATCCAGGGCCAGGTACCCAGTGGGTCTTAGGAAGTGAGTGTTCTGCATTGACCAGCCTCTTGGGAGCCCCATGGTGGGGAGACCTGTCTGTCCTTGCAGGTTCTGGGTGGTTTCACTTGGGGCCAGTGAACTGAGCTCTAGACAACAGAGACAGCTCTCTGGAGAAATGCAGATTCTCTTCCCACCTGAAGCGCGCCAAAGGCCACGAGGCCAGGCAGACAGTCTTATTGATGAGTCATGAAACAGCCAGACCCAGAGTCTTAGGTGGGGAGGGGAGAGGATCAGTACTGCCTGAGGATAAAGGGCTTGGTAACTGAGGGTCAGTGGCTCAAGCTGACCCCAGGGCCAAGCCGTTAGCTCCTCGGGCTGAGGTCTTTGAAGACATGTGGCCCAAGTTCCCATCTGAAGAGCAACAAACTGAGGCTCAAAGAGGAGACAATCTTCGCAGGGTCAAAACTGAGTGGCAGGACTGGGAACAGGCACGGCTTCCTGCTCTGGATTGGTGCTCATTCTTACAGAGTTTCTGCCTTACACCCAACACCTACAGGGCTCTGTAGGTGCCCTGCGCCCTGCCTGGTGAACAAGAACACAGCACACACTTATTGAAGGTCACTACATCTCAACTTTATTTCTTATGATTCTTTGAAGAATTTGGGGAGGCAGGGGACTTGTCATTTGGGAGACTGACATCCTGATGCCCTGGAGGGTCACCTCCAGAATGGGAGCCCCTTTCCGTTTCAGTACTGGGTCCTCCTGGAGGAGCTGGAGGAATTCCACAGCAAGGCCCCCAGTAGTGCCCCAGCAGATCCCAGGAGGATGTTGGATGATGTGGAAAGTCCAGCTGCCCCTGGGGGAGAGGAGGATGTTAGAGCACAAGCAGACAGGCAGGCCCAGCAGCCCCCGGCAAGACTGTGGGTGTCAGAGACCCCAGGACTGACTGGAGGCCCTAGACCCCAACATCCCACCCCTATTTCCTCCACTACTTCTGAGACCCCAGGATATCTGCTAGGGGAGGGGCTGCTGCACATGGCTGCCCAAAGAGGAGACATGAACTCTGATGGTCAGTCCATCAGCGACAGGACAGACCCTCTGAGAAATGACAGGCTGCCCCTCCCTCTGCTGCACTCAGCTGGGCCCAGGGAGGAGTGGGCACCTAACCAGGTTTTGTAGGGTTGATGAGGAAGGCAGGCCTTCTGAGCGATCCACCCCTCATCCCGCCACCCCACACCCAACCAGAAGAGGGAAGAGTGACCAGGTCACAAAGGACCAGGGGGACACTGACGACCACGAAGCTGGAAGAAGCCTGTTTGCTTCTTTGGCATCTGGATCAATCTTGCGCTGATTTGTTACCCCTCGCCCGCTTCCTCCTGGGGAGACATTTACCCTTGGACTGGAGATTGGAGACCAGGCTGCCAGAGGGAACTCTGCCCCCATTGGCTCTGGCAGTTGATGACATCATATTGGCCGCGAAGGAGGAGCGGGAGATTCCTGTTCTGGTGAAACCCATGGTGTCCAGCAACTCAGGTGCAGCCCTCATGGCCATGACTGTAAGGGCAGAGACACTTCATGGCTAGCTGCGGGGGACAGGCTCCCCAGACCTCCCTGACACCTTCCTGGGGGGTTGAGGTGAAGGGTCCTCTTCACTCGCCTCAGACCACAGGGCCAGAGGCCAGAGAAGGCTGTAGGTATGGACACAACTGGATGGACGCCCACCCTGACACCCCATCCTCCTCCAAGAACCTGGAACCCAGGCCTGCTCATGACTCTGCTTGCCTGTGACCCTGGAAGCTTCAGCAGTCCTCCCTGGGCTTTAGTTCGCCCTTTATGAAATAAAGTTGAAATAAACAGGGGTCTTCAAATGCCCCCTTTTGGTGGGAAACTGGTGTCTTTCATGCAAGCTCAGGCCCACAGTATGAGGACAGAACTGCTCTTCTGAAAAGGTGCTGGGTGGAGCTTCTGACCTCTGGCCCGGGGCCGCTGGTGAGCATCCCCCAGGGTGCCTGCATCTCAGATGGTGCAGGCATAGAACCTTCTGCAACCAGGAACCTTCTGTGTCTGCACCGTCCACACAGTGGACACATGTGGCCACTGAGCACTTGAGACTGTGGCTGGTATGACAGAAATGTTTCATTTTCTTTCATTTTGGCCACCGTGTGGGAGGACCCTGGCCAGAGGCCCAGCAGGAAACCGCTAGACTCGCTGGATGACTAGAGGGTTGTAGGCAGAGCAGTTCTGAGGAATCCACACATTCTCAGCTCACACATTCTTTACAGTCATTTGGAAGGGCCCCTGGCACTGCTTTCTGGGGAGGAATCATGGGTTCAGACAGATCTACCTACTTGCCTGGATCCCACAGTTTGCACTTGGGAGAAGCTGAGATTGGAAGTGGGTGCTGTGAATGGCTTTTCTTTGGTTCCTTCTTGGCAAGGTTCTTGTTACTGCAAGAATTCCACCTCTGACACCTTCCACCCCACCCCTACCCACCCAGGTCTTGGGGCTGAAGGCAATCTTGGACTTGGTCAAGGACGGGTGCTCCCAGGAGCCCAGGGACAGGGGCAGATGGGGCCTTGAGCTTCTTCCCAAAGAGACTTACCTCCTCCAATCACAGCAGCTGCAGTCATGCCTGGAGACAGAAAGAACCCCTGTGAGTGCCCAGCACTGGCCTTCCCCCTGCGTCTCTGCTGCTGTCCCAGTGGGAAGGGTTCCCTGGAGTTGGTTGGGGTCATAGGAGACAGCAGCCCTGGGTGGCTCTCTCTGCTTTTACAGAGAAGTCTGATTTTGCAGGAATCAGAGGAGGATGGACAAAAGCCCAGAGCTCTGTGATGCTCCAGATAGGGAGAGGAACCTGCCTTGAAAAGGTTTCATGCTGCTGTTTGAACTTAACACATTTTGGTATCATTTTCAAAAAAAAAAAAAATCAAGAAAAGCATGCTACTTTTTTGCAATGGAATAAATTTGACTGTTCTGTCTGTTCATCTTCCAGACACGCTATGCCCATCCCAGGCTACAGCTGGAGTGGAAGCCCCCCCATCCTCCAGGGCTCAGCCTACTTGCGACTTTCTGCAGGAAGCACCCCTTATTCCCCCATTAAAATGCACCATGCTTCCTCTGCATGTTTTGCCTTGTGGCTGGAGCCCCTGACCACACTAGACAGAGCATGCCTGTACCACATTGAGTTGCTCAGAGTGCTTGGGTCTGGTAGGGACTAGGGATTTTGGACAGCTGGGACAGTTCCAGAGATTTCAGGATCTGCAAGAGTGAGCTCAGATAGCTCCCCATGAAAAAGGGGAGCTTGGTCCCAAGCAAGGCAGAGAAGTTGAAAAAGCAGTCTCCACCCCTCAGTCATTTCTGAAAGGTTATAGCTCCTGGCTCACCAGCATCTCTCTCCATCAGGACCCCTGACCTGTCTTGAGGGTTTCCGTTTCTGCACAGACAATGTTTCCAACAAACCGATCTTACAGTTCTCACCGCCTCACTTCCAAGGATCTTGGCTCCTATGCCACACACCCAAGGTCATACCCTAGGCCAGGGGTTCCCAACCCCGATACTGGTCCCTAGCCTGTTAGGAGCCCAGTCACACAGCAGGGGTTGAGCGGCAGGTGAGCCACCGAAGCTTCATCTGTGTTTACAGCCGCTCCCCCTAGCTCGTATTAACACTTGAGCTCCACCTCCTGTCAGATCAGCGGCAGCATTAGATTCTCACAGGAGCTTGAACCCTTCTGTGAACTGTGCTTGTGATGGATTGATGTTGCCTACTCCTTGTGAGAGTCTAATGCCTGATGCTCTGAGTTGCAGCTGAGGTGGTGATGGTAGGGCTGGGGAGCGCCTGCAAATACAGATGATCACTAACAGAAAGGTTTGACTGTACAGGGACCATAATAAATGAATAGCTTGCAGACTCATATCAAAACCCTACTAGTGAGTGGCAAGTGACGACTAAGCTGCATCTGGTGGCAGGCTTTAAGTCAGAATCCGACACTTACTTTAGTCCCCACATGTCCCGCTCACTATTTTATTTACCACTTCCATCCTTGCCTCTTTCCTGCACTGTGCACTTGTCTTAGTCATGGTTTTGGTAAGCCCACAAGCTAACCCTTGACAAAATAAGTAAAAAAATAAAATAAAATAAAAAGCAAACATTGCTGAAGGGTTTCTCTGAAAATGGAGAAAGACTCAATGATGAGACTGAAAAAGACTCTAAGATGGACAGTGAAGAGAAAGCTACATTTAAAAGAAAATACCAAGAGTGCTACTTAAAGTACAAGCTCATTTCAGCAGGTGATTCACATTCTCTAAGCCTGCTTTGTATAGTATGTAGCGACCAGCTAATCAATGAAGTTTTGAAACCTTTAAAACTGCTTTGCCACATGGAGACCAAGCACCCTGCATTAAAATACAAGGCTTTGGGGTTTAAAAAAAAAAAAGTGAACATGAAGAACAGAAGCAATTATCAAATGCCTTCATTTTATCAAATGTATGTGCACTGAGAACATCATTCTTAGTGGTTAACCACATTGTTAAATCTAAGAAACTGTTTACTATTGGTGAAGAGCTGATCCTGCCTGTTGCTAAGGTCATTTGTCATGAACTTTTAGGAGATGCTGAAGTTCAATATCTGGCATGTGCTCCTCTTTCTGCTAGCACCATAACTAGATGAACTGATGAAACAGCAGACATATTGAGGCCAATTGTTAGAAAGGATTAATGAGTCATTGTGGTATGCAATCCAGGTTGGTGAATCTACCAGTGTTGACCACAAGGCAACTTTACTTGTTTTTGTGCAATATATTTTTCAGGAGGATGTGCATGAGGATGTGTTATGTGCACTTTTCTTGCCAACCAACACCACAGCTGCAAAACTATTCAAGTCTCTGAATGACCACATATCAGGAAAACTGAACTGGTCATTTTGTGTTGGTACAAGCACGGATGGAGTGGCTGCCATGACTGGATGGTATTCTGGTTTTCACTATACTGGTCAAAGTGGTCACCTCTGAATGTGAGTCTACACTCTGTCATCCATGGACAAATGCTGGCCAGCTGAAAAATGTCACCTGAACTTAACGTTTTGCAGGAAGTGATGAAAAGTATCAACCACATTAAAGTACGTGCCCTTAACTCACGTCTGTTCATGCAGCTCTGTGAGGAAATGGGTACAGAGCACAAACATCTTCTCTTATACACAGAAATGAGACAGCTCTCTAAAGGTAGATCACTGGCCAGCAGTTCTGAGTTGTGAGTGCTGCTTCCAGGGATTTCTTTTAGAAAAATAGTCACCACTGGCAGCATATTTCATATTTCAGAAGGTGTCAAAAAACATCCTTACTTGTGTGACATGTTCAACTTGCTCAATGAACTCGGTCTGACACTTCAGGGGAGAATGACAACTGTTCAAGTCACCAGGTAAAGTGGCTGCATTTAGAGCCAACCTGGAATTATGCAGGCAATGAATGAACACTGGGAATTTTGACATGTTTCAAATATTAGCAGAGATTTAGAAAGAGACTCAGTCAGGGTCGTCTTTCTCCCAACTGGTGCATGATTCACTTATTTCAGCTTTCAAAAGAGTTTGAGCATTACTTCTCAACTGCAAAAGACCCCTGAACTGGGAAGGAATGGATCCCTGACCCATTTGTAAATAAGCCAGGTGAACTGACTTTGTGCCTGCTGGAAGAGGATCAACTGCTTGAGATCACAAATAACAGTGGCCTTGAAAGTATGTGTTAGATGACTTCAAATCTCCATATGTTCTAGATTAAAATCAAGGCAGAATAGCTTGAGATTGCCACAAAAGCACTGAAAAGCCTGCTTCTGTTTCTCACACCCTATCTTTGTGAAGCAGGGTTTTCTGCAATAACAGTAACCAAAGGGAGCTGACAGGGTAGACTGGACGTAAGTAAGACACTTCGGGTGTCATTGTCTCCTGTCACCCTCAGATGGGACCATCTAGTTGCAGGAAAACATGCTCAGGGCTCCCATTGATTCTGCATTATGGTGAGTTGTATAATTATTTCATTATACATCACAATCTAATAATAATATAAATAAAGTGCATGATAAATACAATGTGCTTGAATCATCCCCAAACCATCCTCCCCCTCCCTGCCTGTGGAAAAAGTATCTTCCCTGAAATGGGTCCTGGCACCAAAAAGGCTGGGGACTAGTGCCCTTCTCACCACTATGGGAACAACTACCCATGTGTGCTAGTTCAATCTCAGTTAATTCCAATGAAATAAAACTTAAAACTCAGTTCCTGAATTGCATGGACCACTTCTCAAGTGCTCAATAGTTGCATCTGGCTAGTGCTGGTCCACCATACAGGATCACACAGGGAACTCGCTTACCATCGCAGAAAGCATTACGGGAGAGTGCTGCCCTAGACCCGGTCACCAGCAAAAAAATCCCTCTCTCTATGATCAATAACCAGCACTCCCATAGAGACTCTCACCTCCTCCTTTTACAGATTCTGACTCTAACACAGCCTTCACCATTTCATCAAACACAATGAGATTTTTCAATCTCTGTCTAGGCACACCTTGGCAATACTGTCGATCGGGTTACAGATCACCAAAGTAAAGGAAATATCATGTGAACTTTTTGGTTTTCAGTGCATATAAAAGTATACATAAGTTACATTTATGTATAACTAGACTATACCCTATTCTGCCAAGGGTGCGATAGCCTTGTGTCTAAAAAGACAATGGGCACATCTTAATTTAAAAATACTTCATTGCTAAAAATGTGAACCTCCACCTGCCAACTCTAAGTTACTACAAATCTTCAATTTATGACAGCCCATCCCCATGTTAGTTTCCTGAGGCTGCAGTAAGGAATTACCATGAACTGTGCTAATTCTCTCATGTTTTCTCCCAGTCAAAGATCCAAGATCAAGGTGTAAACAGAGCCAGGGTTTCTCTGAAGGCTCTAGGGGAGGATCCTTCCTTATCTCTCTAGCATCGTTGTCTAGCTGTTGGTGACAGTCTCTGGCTTGTGGCTGCATCTCTCCAATCTGTTTCTGGCTCTACCACTGCCATCCTAGTCACCATCACCTCTTGTTGTCCAAGACCAGGGATGGGGACAATACAGAGGATGTTGGCTGCTGGGTGCAGGGAAGAAGAATGAAGGTGTTAAATCCCCTCCTTGACCCCTGTGGCCCATGTTAAAGTCCACGTGTTCCATGAGCATGAGGGGGTCCCTGCATAATCAGGCTTCTGCTTCTGTCCTAGGAAATCAATAGAAGTCACCTCCCTGCCTCCTGATGTTCAGTCTTTTGCCTGCCAAATCCAGGCACATTTTTAAGGACTCTGCCATCCAACACATCTTCCAGAACCTGCCCTGAGCACACTTTCCCAGTCTTCCTCGGCCACCTTCACCTATAGACTCTCAAGGGTGAATTAGTTGTGCTCCTGCTGCCACAAAATTTCCCACAAGGCAGTGTGGTTCCCTGAAATCTCTGCTAGATTTTAAGCTCTTTCAGGTCAAGGGCCAAGCCTCATTCACTGCTGCCTTCTCCTGTGCCAGGCACAGGCTTGGGATCAAGGAGGCTCCAAAGGAGGAGTTCAGAGAAAGAAGTACCAATCCAAAGTGCACCTTTGGGTATCCTAAGTCATGCTATGGTCTGAATGTTTGTGTCCCCAGTAAATGATATATTGGAACCTAATGCCCTATATGATGATATTAGGAGGTGGCCCTATGGGAGCTGATTAAAACTTGCAGGCGGAGCCCTCCTGGTTGAGATCAATTTCCTTATAAAAGAGATCCAAGAGAGTTCCTCTTTTCCTCCCAACATGGGAGGTTAATGCGAAAAGATGGTTGTTCTAGGACGTGAGCTCTCATCACACACAGAGTCCACTGGTGCCTAGATCATGATTCCCCAGACTCCAGAACTGTGGAAAATAAGTTTCTGTTCTTTTTAAGCCATCCGATTTACAGCATTTTGTTATAGCAGCCCTAATTCACTAAGATAGGGCACAATCAATAGAGTGAAAAGGGAACCTACAGAATCGTAGAAAATATTGGCAAAACATGTATCTGTTTAGAGGTTCATATTCAGGATATAGTATAAATAATTCCTCCAACAACAGAAAACTTGATTTAAAATAATTTGATTTAAAAATGGCAAATGTGCAGCACAACTGGAGGAAGCCCATATGCAGCAATGAAGATGCAGCGCAGACAAAAAATAAAGAAAAATATGGGCAAAAAATCAGAGTAGACATTTCCCTAAAGACAGACAAATGGCCAACAAGAATAGAAAAATATACTTAATATCGGTAACCATTAGGAAATTCAAAGCAAAACTGCAACAAGATATCACTCCACACCCATCAGGAAAGTCACTATATAAAAAAAAACAAAAACCGGAAAATAACAAGTGTTGGTTAGGGTGTGGAGAAACTGGAACATTTGTGCACTGTTGGCAGGAATGTAAAAGGGTGCAACAAACATGGAAAACAGTGTGACAGTTCCTGAAAAAATTAAAATTAGAAAACCATATAACCCAGCAATCCCATTTCTGGGCGTAGATTCAAAGAAATTGAAAACAGCGTCTTGAAGAGATATTTGCACCCCACGTTCATAGCAGCAGTAATCACAGTTGCCAAGAGGAAGCAAACTAAGTGTCGATCAGTGGATGAATGGATCTTTACCACATGGTATAGATCTATACCACCCGAGAAGATATCATTCAACTTTAAATAGGAACTTCTGACATACGAGGAACCTTGGAACCTTATGTTAACTAAAATAAACATGTCAGAAAATAACAGATGCTATATGATCCCACTCACATAGAAATTAGATTAAATTGGTTGAGCAAAGAGACAGAAGGAACTGTGGTTGCCAGGAAGTGGCAGGAGGAAAACAGTAGTTAATGTTTAATTGAGTTTCAGTGTGAGGAGATGAAAAGAGTTCTAAAGATTGGAGGCACAGTAACACAAATATGGTTAACACTGCTCAAGAGCCGACTCACTGGAAAAGACCCTGATGCTGTGAAAGATTGAGGGCAGGAGGAGAAGAGGGTGACAGAGGATGAGATGGTTGACTGGCATTACCGACCCAATGGACATGAGTTTGAGCAAACTCCGGGAGATAGTGAAGGACAGTGAAGCCTGGCACGCTGCAGTCCGTGGGATTGCAGAGTCAGACACGACTTAATGACTGAACAACAAAAAACAACAATTCAGTGTATGCTAACAAACAGTTGTATTTGTTAGTCACTCAGTCCAGTTCACTCTTTCTGACTGCATGAATCATAGCCCGACAGGCTCCTCTGCCCATGGAATTCTCCAGGCAGGAATACTGGAGTGGGCAGCCACTTCCTTCTTCAGGGGATCTCCCCAACCCATGGATCGAACCCAGGTCTCCCGCATTGCAGACAGATTATTTGACATATGAGCCACCAGGGGAGCCCAGCTGTTTTGGTAAATTTCATGCTATGTGTATTCTGAAATGACTTTAAAAAAAACTCTGTGACTTTTGCTGCTGTGGCCCTAGGCTGGCCCCACATTAGAGGTGACACTGCTCTCAGAGGGTGTGTTCTGGGAGGACATTAGTGACCAGGCCCTGGGGCATCAGGGGAGGAGCGCAAATGGGGAAATGAAACTTACCTGCCTTGGTTGCGGTGGGGTAACAGGGCAGGCATGGGCAGTGAACTTTAACCAGGAAAGCATCATGCCCGAGCCTGCGCCACGTGGCTGTCAGGCATCTAACCTGAGCAGCACCTCTGCCCCACCTAATTGGAGGTGACCTGGTTCTGAGAGACCCTTAAGACTGACCTCATCCCACCCCTGTGCTTAAAAACAAACCTATGAAGGCCCAGAGAGGGCAAGTGACTGGCCCTGGGTCACTCAGCAAGTCAGAGGCAGAGTTAAATCCTGAAGTATGGTTCCTCTGATTCTAGAGCATCATTTATTTCATCTCCTGCATACACTGTAGATTTTTTCTGACAGTGTGTTGGAGAGATTCCATCAGGGAGACTGTCCTGACACTGACAATTTAGCAGGTTGAGCTGAGAAATGGTTATGGGGTGAGGATCCGTATGTAGACTGGTGCTCAGAGACCCGTTACCTGCATAATGGTAGAAATTGCTGCCTTCCGACTGGGGTGGATCTCTGGGGTAGGAGCCAAAGCCATCTGCTCCCTGATGTGGCCTCCGTGGTGGCTTCCAAAGAGAAGAGCCACCAGAGGTCTGATTGCTTGCCTGGGAAGGTTCTTCTTCCTCTGGAAGAAAGAAATAAAGGGGAGCACACAGCAGGGCAGGCAGCTGTGGGACCAGACCCCACACAGCACCCTCCACCCCTTCCTGAAGCTCCCAGGATCTCTGATGTAGGGAGGGGACCTCAGACGAAGCTGAGCTGAGAGGTGTCAAGGGTGCTTGGAGGTGAACCAGGGAGAAGACAGAGAGAGGGAGGCCCAGCACCAGTGGAGAGCTGGGAGGTCCTGACTGCTCAGAGCAGGAGGCTGAGGACCAGGGGGGAAGAGACTTGATGGGCCCAGAGCACCAGGGGTGCTCACCAGGGGTGGCAGCACCAGGACAGAACCCAGACCCCCTCTGCCCACATCCAGGAACCCCAAGCTCTGGGCCACCCCACCCTCGGGAGCTTTCCCAAGGGCACTCACCTTCCGACAGCAATTCTCGCAGGAGGGCGCCCAAAGCACCACCTTCCCCGCTCTCTATAGCTTTAGCTGACATCCTGGAGGCAGTATGGGAACACTAGTTGTGGAGCCAAGGACACCACTGTCTTTCTGAGAATCAGAGTGTGAAGTTAAAACTGATCTGCTTGATTTAGGGCTTCCCTGATAGCTCAGTTGGTAAAGAATCTGCCTGCAGTGCAGGACACCTGGGTTCAATCCCTGGGTCAGGAAGATCCCCTGGAGAAGGGGAAGGCTAGCCACTCCAGGATGCTGGCCTGGAGAATTCCATGGACTGTATAGTCCATGGGGTCTTAGAGACTTGGACATGACTGAGCGACTTTCACTTTCACTGCCTGATTTAGGCTGCACCTAGGTTTCAGGGGGGATTCCCTGATAGCTCAGTTGGTAAAGAATCTGCCTGCAGTGCAGGACACCTGGGTTCAATCCCTGGGTCAGGAAGATCCCCTGGAGAAGGGGAAGGCTAGCCACTCCAGGATGCTGGCCTGGAGAATTCCATGGACTGTATAGTCCATGGGAAGAGTCACAAAGAGTCAGACATGACTGAATGACTTTCAGGGGGACATCTGTCTGCCGTTCCAGCCCTGCCCTCTGTCCAATTGAAGCCTGAGTCACTTCCAGCCCACCCCCTTAATCTGCGCAGAACACAGTTTTGAAGTTAATAATGACTTTGCTTGGCTTCCTGATCTCCAGAGTCCTGGCCACCTCTAATACCCCATCTCTGTCCCCTGCTCACTGCCCACCTGGTCAAAGTCTCAGGGCTTCATAGTAACCCAGGTCATGACAAGACCAGAGGTTCCCAACATCTCATGGTAAAGGTGGGCTCAAGCCCCCTCCCCACACTCCGCTCTGGTCACAGGGACAGCAGTCCTGATGGAAGTGGAGAGGGAGGCTGAGAGTGGAGGCTCCCTCCCCTCCCCACTCCCAGGCCCCTTCTTACCCTGCTTAGTAGTTGTTGGGGATCGAAGAGTAGTGTGTGAAAGGCTGCATGTAGTGAGGCTGTTGAGAACTCCAGCCGGCTAAATAGTCCATCCCTGGATGACGTCTGACCCCAAGAGTCCAAGGAGGAGGTGAGTCACCCTCATCCCAGACTTGGTGCCAGGGAGACCTCACCTTTGCATGCTAATGGGAAGACATGGGGCGGGCCTTCTGAAGGAGCATTGCTTTCCCTCTCAGATCCCCTTCTTGGAATCTTTATAAAACTCACCTGCAATTCTTGTTAACTTTCTTTTCCCTGCCCTCCATGATTTGCAAGTTTACAGGACAAAACATTTTTCCTTGGCTGACAAATAGCACAGAGCCCTAATCTCATATCTGTAATAACTGATGCGGGTTGATGGTCAAGAGCACCATCTCTGACCAGTGCCTGAGGAGGAATCCTTAGTCGCAACTTAGGGAGTGAATTCCCCTTGGTGTGCCTTACTTTGCTGACACATTAGCATTCACAGGATAGGTGGTATCACTACACTTACTTCTTTTTGTCCCTTGACATGTGGAAGTATTAGTCCCTCTGTCATGTCCGACTCTTTGTGACCCCAAGACTGTACCCTGCCAGGCTCCTCTGTCCATGAAAGTCTCCAGGTAAGAGTACTGGAGTGGGTACCCTATTTCCAGGGGATCTACCTGACACAGGAATGAACCAGTGTCTCCTGCATTGCAGGCAGATTCTTTACCAGCTGAGCTACCAGGGAGGCACCCAAAGACATATATATATATATATATATTCCTTATGCAAATATTATATATTATTATATGTATATATATTTTGCTTATTTTACATTATCTGCTAAAAGGAAATGACCAAATTATTTCCCTTTAAGAAAGAATAATGAATTAGTTCTTTTACCCTTAATTTTTTTTAAATTATTTTTGCCATGCAAAGCAGGACCCAATGCAGGTCCAGCTGCTTCCAAAGTGAGGTCTTAGAATGGCTCTTATTTGCTCCCTCCTAATTCTTGTCTCTACCATGGCTAATTCATTTCAATGTATGACAAAAACTACTGTAATGATGTAAAGTAATTAGCCTCCAACTAATAAAAATAAATGGGAAAAAAAAAAAATGAGAAAACAGAAAACAATGGAGCAGAACCAATATAAGAAACTTCTCAGAACAAAAGATATGTTTCCTGATATAAATGCTCCTCTGAGTATTCACATGAATGAAAAGAGACACACATATCACCTTGCTGTTCCATAGCATCAAGGATAAAGAAAACATCTTACAGCTATTCAGGAAGAAAACAGGTCATGTACAGTGGATCAGGATTCACAATGATAACAGGCTTCTCAAAGCAATACTGGAAGCTAGAAAACAATGGAAAACTGCCTTCAAGATTCTGAGGAAACATCATTACTTACCATCTAGAATTCCATACTCTGAAGGGTGAGTTAAAAGATGGTTCCAGACATGAAGGATGTAAGGGTTTTAAAACATGTCCCCAAAATCTTTGACATGCCTCCCTCAAAAGGTAGACCCTAATTCCAGTCCCCTTGAAAGTGAGCAGGACTTAATGACTCATCTGTAATGAACAGAATGTGGAAGAAATCTAGGTTATTAAAAACACTATCACTTCTGTCTTGCTCTTGTGAACCATCACTCTGGGAGAAGCTAGTCACAAGGTCATGGGAGCCCTCAGTCAGCCTGTGGAGAGGCCTTTGGGAATAAGGCTTCCAACCAACAACCAGCAACAACCTGCCAGCCTTTAAGTCACCGTAGAAGCAGTTCTGCAGTCCCAGTCAAGCCTTCAAATAGCTGCTTCCCTGGCTGACCTCTTCACGGCAATTTCATGTGATTCCCTGAGCCAGAACCACCCAGCTAATGCTCCCAAATTCCTGACCATAGAGACTGCAAAATAAAATGCTGATTACTGTTTCAAGTGACTAAATTTTGGAGTAATTTATTATAAAGCAATAGATAACCAACACAAGAAATCTCAAACAACTAACTTCTACACACTTTTTCCCAAGAAGCTACCCAACAAAACTGAAAAAAGAAAACAAGACTATAGCAGGGAAAGAAGTTAAAGGGAATTACTTTACTTGTGAAGAGATACCCATGAAGACAGAGAAGCAGCTGGCATAGAAAGTATCTGAAGGATGGAGCAGAAAGGAACAGGGTCTAGGGATGGAAGACTTGCTCCCAGGATGGAGAACTCCAGAAGGAAATGGGTCTCATGGATTACCTGACACATCTGACCATGTGGAAAATGGCAGTGCAGGTTTTCATAAATCTGCTGGAGTCTCTGGGGAGAACTGATAAATAAGAAAAAACTAACAATAAATGAAGCAATTAATTCCAAGGTTAAAAAAAAATAGTTGTACAAGAAGGGAAGTTTGAGCAAAGCATAACTCTGGGATCAGTAAAAAATAGTTATTGTTACAACAAAAACAAAAACTATGACATAACAACATTAGAAGAATGAGATGAGGGAAACTATTATGGAATCCTCAGCTTTCAAAAGGTACTATACAAAACTGATATTATTTAGAAATGAGGCTAAACTTCAGAAACAGTAGATAAAAGATTTAGATAGACAATTGCTGCTTGCATGTAGAACACAGAGATGGGAGTGGAGACTGCTGTTTTGCATTATAAGCCTGTGCTTTCAGAAATATGTATACACATTACCCAGTAAAAGCAGATTTTTAAGAGTATTTAGGGAGGGGGAAACTGGTTGAAGGCCGTCAAAAGGTACAAACTTCCAGTTATAAAATAAACAAGTACAACATGATTAATATAATTAACACCACTGTGTGTTATATACGAAAATTGTTAAGAGTAAATCCTAAGAGTTTTCATCACAAGGAAAAATTTATTTTTCTACTTTTTAATTTTGTATCTATATGAGATGATGGATGCCCATTAAATTTATATCATGATGCTTGTAAATTAAATCACTGTGATGCACACTTTAAACTTACACAGTGCTCTATGTCAATTACATCTTCATAAAACTAGAAGAAAAAAATTTTTTTTATTGAAGGATAATTGCTTTACAGAATTGTTGTTTTCTGTCAAACCTCAACATGAATCAGCCATAGGTATACATATATCCCCTCCCTTCTGAACCTCCTTCCTATCTCCATCCCCATCTCACCCTTCTAGGTTGATACAGAGCCCCTGTTTGAGTTTCCTGAGCCATACAGCAACTTCCTGTTGGCTGTCTATTTTACATATAGTAATGTAAGTTTCCATGTTACTCTTTCCATACATCTCACCCTCTCCTCCCGTCTCCCCATGTTCATAAGTCTATTCTCTATGTCTGTTTCTCCACTGCTGCCCTGTAAATTCTTCAGTACCATTTTTCTAGATTCTATATGTGCATTAGAATATGATATTTATCTTTCTCTCTCTGACTCACTGCACTCTGTATAATAGGTTTTTGGTTCATTCACCTCATCGGAAGTGACTCACATGCATTTCCTTTTATGGCTGAGTAATATTCCATTGTGTATATGTACCACAACTTATTTTTCTATTCATCTGTCAGTGGACATCTAGGTTGCTTTCATGTTCTAGCTATTATAAATGTGCTGCTATAAACAATGGGATATATGTGTCTATTTCAGTTTTGGATATGCCTAGGAGTGGGATTGCTGGGTCATATGTTGGTTTTATTCTGGTTTTATTCCTAGTTTTTTAAGGAATCTCCATATCATCTTCCATAGTGGCTGTATCAATTTACATTCCCACCAACAGTGCAAAAGCATTCCCTTTTCTCCACACCCTCTCCAGCATTTATTGTTTGTAGCCTTTTTGATGAGGGCCATTCTGACCCATGTGAAGCAGGATCTCATTGTAGTTTTGATTTGCATTTCTCTAATAATGAGCGATGTTGAGCATCTTTTCATGTGTTTGTTAGCTGTCTGTATGTCTTCTTTGGAGAAATGACTGTTTAGGCCTTTTCCCCACTTTTTGACTAGGCTGTGTGTTTTTCCGGCATTGAGTTGTATGAGCTGCTTGTATATTTTGGAAATTAATCTTTGTCAGTTGTTTCATTTGCTATTATTTTTTCCCATTGTGAGGGTTGTCTTTTCACTTTGCTTATAGTCTCCTTTGCTGTGCAAAAGCTTTTAAGTTTAGTTAGGTCCCACTTACTTACTTTTGTTTTTATTTCCATTACTCTAGGAGGTGGGTCATAGAGGATCTTGCTTTTATGTTGAGTGTTCTG